AACAGATTTTAAAAACATGTGTCTTTATCAAAAAAATATGCCTTAATTGAAATTTTGTAATGTTTATTTTATTGAAAAAATGGTTCCTCCAATTGATAATTTTGTGCAAAAAATTTCACTGCAATTTCCACAGGAAAGTAGTACATCATAACAGACTGACTTCTAGTCAGTCTGTTGGATACATACTAGGGTTGAAGGAACCGTGGGCATTCAATAGCCCATTGTTGAACTCACAAGATCTTGAATTGATCAACTAATATTTATATATTGGAAGACAGACCATGTATTCTGTTCCAGTTGGCCAATTGATGTAAGTTGTTTCAAGTACCTGTGTCTGGACTCTTGTTCCTTTGCCATGCTAAATAACCATGGGCTTTAGACCTATTATCACCCACCATCTGCATGTAAAAGTAAAGAGTTTGAATATTCTTTCTCTCTTTCTTGAAAATGATGATTTATCTGTGCGATCATATAATAATTAAAAAAATACACCAACCTGTTAACAAGATGATGTATCAATCATGTTATGCTTACAAGAGAAACGCTCACAAACAAATATATACTCGCAGGATATTTTTTCAAAATCAAACTTCCGTTCCGAGATCGAGGTTTTGACATTTCCGGTTAAAAGTTTTGAGTGGAAGGTTCAAAGTTTATTCACGGCATGTCACAGTGCTATAAACTTATACAATCATAAGGTAGGGTAATTAGTTTTCTAAATAATGAATTATGTTACGCAACCATGTTGAGACCACCCACGGACCTCTGCCAGATACCTCTTCTTGGGGTCTAGCCTCATTGAAGATGCAGTTTCAATCACAGGGAATCGTATGGAGGGTCGGGCACAACCCTCCCCAACCTCTAAAGACTTCTCTTTTAAAGAGAAGTAGCCTTAGGAGGTTGGGGAGGGTTCTGCCCGACCCTCCATGCAATCCCCTGTGGTTTCAATTTGGAACAAAACAAATGACACTGTCAGTGACAGGTGGATGTTCTATCACCATATCCAAACCATGGTGTTTTGAAAGCCCTATAGTCTCAAATATTGTCTAGATACATATCCCTTAAAATTTGTATATTTTCTTTACATTTTCTATACTGTCATCGTGGGCTTTCAACTTTCAACTCTAATACTCCTATTCACGATAAGAGTTCAGGTGGTAATTTACATAAATATCTCGCTTTGGAAGGGACAAATTTTCATTGGCCCGCCGAACGAGTCGATTACTCTGAACGTTTCTCAGCTTCTGATCTTCCATCAGCCCTCAAGCAGTTACAGTATATGATCCAATCTATTCAATAATCAGAAAGATAATCGGAGATTCAAAGTAACATTATTCAATTATATATTTTTTTCGATCTTCGATGGCGTCTGGGCAATTTCTGGGATATCAGTGACATCACTGGAATTGGACGGCATTTTCAACTACAGATTTCTTAGGATTTGGGGATTAAAGCTTTGTCATATATCTTAATTACATACATACCTATCGTTTGTCCAAATGAAACTTTACATAAATATTTAATAGAGTCGCAGTGCAGCATTGAAATAGCACCCCTGTGTAGGCCTAATCCAATCGGAAAGAACCCGGATGTAGACGAAGTTGTACCATACACGATAGCTCTTCAAACGGGAGTTAGCTAAACTGAACTAAATTAAACTTTATCACGTATTGGTATATTCAAAGCCCATGCTGTCACAGATAGCAGAATTTTTCTAAGGAAATACATCCTAAATTTCTTTAGGGCCTCTTTAGGATGTATTTTCTTAGAAAAATTCTGCCATCTGTGCATGCTGTCATCCACTGATGTATGGCCTCTTGAAAATTCTCTTATTTTTAACATTGGAAATCCTCACTTCAGCAAAGGCTTTGTATAAAAAACCTCCAATGACTAAAGCCACACATTCAAGTCATCTGTTGATAAAAGCATAAAATATCAGAGCGTATATATAATGGAGTGTTTCGGCTATTTCTGTTGTTCTCATGTTTATTCCCGAAGTCAATTGTCTTTTCTGAGTATGTGATGCCACTCCGGATGACGTCACTTCAGAGATAACCGAGAAACCCCATGACGTTTCTTACTGTAGAAACAATAACATTGGTTTGTTAAGCTATGTGGTCCTTTACTTTCTTTGGCAGTTTGTTGCGATGTGACGTAATTTCAGAGACGAAAAACATCGGACACTGCCAGAAATTACCGAAACACATTATCTTTACGCTCTGAAAATTTGAAATAATTGTCCCGGGAAAACTCGATTTACAACGTCAATAATTGATATCATGTAACCATTCAAACTAGTGTAATACATGAAGAAGAGATTACAGGGTAAATAATAAATATTGATCACTCAATGATGGTAAAGATAAAGGTCAGTACGAGGGACATATTTTTAGGTAGTCTTGTTTTTAGGTTGGCTTGTGTTCGATCTTCTTATTTATTCATTGAGCCTACTACCAATAGGAGCTGGATCTGGCTCTGGATCTGTGAATCCACCAAAGCACCTTCATTACGAAGGTTATACCCACCAAGGATTCCTAGTTTGCATAATTAAATCAGCTTTTTTAGACTACAATGTATCTATGTACAGCCCATTTCACTGTTTTATTGCATCAGTAGAACCCCAAAAATAAGAAATCAGGAGATCATTGTGCAATAATATATGGAATGAAATTTGTATATTTCAGATTATTTAGTTTTTTTGTGCAATAAGCCTGTGCCCTCTTGTAATTTAAAGAATTTCAGCCATGTTAATCTTTTTGAAAATACATGCATCAAAATACAGGGTGACCGGAAAAAAAGGAGACCATTGAAATAGGCAATATCTCCTAAAATAGACTAGTGACATCAATGAAATTTTGCATACATCAGGACAGTTCTATGGAAATTTGTTCCTGAAAGTGTCAATACAAGCAGTCAACTGGTTCAGGAGCTATGATCATTTACATAACATGCTCCAAATAGGCGCAATTGAGACCAACGCAGAGCTGGATACATTTGGCAAATACCCTTACATATTCCGACCTTGTTATGGCATTACATTTAGCATTTATTGCCACCTTTAGGTCAGCAATTGTCTCAGGATTGTTTTGGTACACATTGTCTTTCAAATTGCCCCACAAAAAGAAATCAGGTGGATTCAAATTTGAGGTGTATGGAGACGAAGCTTATCTGACCTATGGCTTCTGACTCAGTGGTCCCACTCAGTTACAGTATCATCCTAAGGAGGTTTTGGGCAGCCCTTGGTTTCCATATGGGATTTAATTGTGCCATATAGTGGTTTTAGTAACATGGCACTATGCCCAATACCTAAAGTGACTCTTAAGATTTGGTAAATCAGCACTTTGGCAACAGGATGATGAACCACATGTCAGATAACCCTTCATTGCCATTACAGCCTAGACTTGAATCCTGCTGATTTCTTTTTGTATGGATATTTGAAAGACAATCTATACCAAAACAATCCTCAGACTATTGTTGACCTAAAGAAGGCAATCACTGCTATATGTAATGCCATAATAATGCCATAGAGGGCAGAACATGTAAGGGTAGTTTGCCATATGAATCCAACTCTGCGTTGGTCTCAATTGTGCCTATTTGGAGCATGTTATGTAAATGATCATAGCTCCTGAACCAGTTGAATGCTTGTATTGAAACCTTCAGTAACAAATTTCCATATAACTGTTCCAGTGTATGCAAAATTTCATTGATGGCACTTGTCTAGTTTAGGAGAAATTGATTACTTCAATGGTCTCCTTTTTTTCCGGTCACCCTGTATAAGAGGCCACATACTTTATTAGCCAAACTAGAAGCAATCCAAGATATGCAAATGTCATTTATGTAAGGAATATATTTTTCCATATATTATTGCACAATGATCTTTTTATTTTTTAGGTTTTCCCAACGCAATAAACAATGAAATGGGCTGTAGACTAACTAAAATCATAGGCCCTGCGAACTTGTTTAAAACAATCTTTGCGCAAATTAACAATCAAAAGTTGGCTTCTTCATAAGATCATTTTTCAAGGTCCACCTAGCTCTTATACTGTAGGTACAGATGTCGACTCGATTTTTTTAGACATGTTCCCACGGCCCTATGATCAAAAGGAATAAGTCACCCTGCTCTCAATTACAGATTAGATTGTTACAGTTATACAAGTTATAGGCACATTGTAATTGTTTGTTATATTGAAGATACTTCAATATGAGTCAGCCACTACTTGGAAAGGTCTGTGTTGTGACAGGTGCAACTAGAGGTACAGGGAAAGGTATAGGCACATTGTTTGTTATATTGTAGATACTGCAATATGAGTCATCCACTACTGGAAAAGGTCTGTGTTGTGACAGGTGCAACTAGAGGTATAGGGAAAGGTATAGGCACATTGTTTGTTATATTGTAGATAGTGCAATATGAGTCAGCCACTACTGGGAAAGGTCTGTGTTGTGACAGGTGCAACTAGAGGTATAGGGAAAGCTATAGGCACATTGTATGTTATATTGTAGATACTGCAATATGAGTCATCCACTACTGGGAAAGGTCTGTGTTGTGACAGGTGCAACTAGAGGTATAGGGAAAGGTATAGGCAAATTGTATGTTATATTGTAGATACTGCAATATGAGTCATCCACTACTGGGAAAGGTCTGTGTTGTGACAGGTGCAACTAGAGGTATAGGGAAAGGTATAGGCACATTGTTTGTTATATTGTAGATACTGCAATATGAGTCAGCCACTACTGGGAAAGGTCTGTGTTGTGACAGGTGCAACTAGAGGTATAGGGAAAGGTATAGGCACATTGTTTGTTATATTGTAGATACTGCAATATGAGTCATCCACTACTGGGAAAGGTCTGTGTTGTGACAGGTGCAACTAGAGGTATAGGGAAAGGTATAGGCACATTGTTTGTTATATTGTAGATACTGCAATATGAGTCAGCCACTACTGGGAAAGGTCTGTGTTGTAACAGGTGCAACTAGAGGTATAGGGAAAGGTATAGGCACATTGTTTGTTATATTGTAGATACTGCAATATGAGTCAGCTACTACTGGGAAAGGTCTGTGTTGTGACAGGTGCAACTAGAGGTATAGGGAAAGGTATAGGCACATTGTATGTTATATTGTAGATACTGCAATATGAGTCATCCACTACTGGGAAAGGTCTGTGTTGTGACAGGTGCAACTAGAGGTATAGGGAAAGGTATAGGCACATTGTATGTTATATTGTAGATAGTGCAATATGAGTCATCCACTACTGGGAAAGGTCTGTGTTGTGACAGGTGCAACTAGAGGTATAGGGAAAGGTATAGGCACATTGTATGTTATATTGTAGATACTGCAATATGAGTCAGCCACTACTTGGAAAGGTCTGTGTTGTGACAGGTGCAACTAGAGGTATAGGGAAAGGTATAGGCACATTGTTTGTTATATTGTAGATACTGCAATATGAGTCATCCACTACTGGGAAAGGTCTGTGTTGTGACAGGTGCAACTAGAGGTATAGGGAAAGGTATAGGCACATTGTTTGTTATATTGTAGATACTGCAATATGAGTCAGCCACTACTTGGAAAGGTCTGTGTTGTGACAGGTGCAACTAGAGGTATAGGGAAAGCTATAGGCACATTGTATGTTATATTGTAGATACTGCAATATGAGTCATCCACTACTGGGAAAGGTCTGTGTTGTGACAGGTGCAACTAGAGGTATAGGGAAAGGTATAGGCACATTGTATGTTATATTGTAGATACTGCAATATGAGTCAGCCACTACTGGGAAAGGTCTGTGTTGTGACAGGTGCAACTAGAGGTATAGGGAAAGCTATAGGCACATTGTATGTTATATTGTAGATACTGCAATATGAGTCAGCCACTACTGGGAAAGGTCTGTGTTGTGACAGGTGCAACTAGAGGTATAGGGAAAGGTATAGGCACATTGTTTGTTATATTGTAGATAGTGCAATATGAGTCAGCCACTACTGGGAAAGGTCTGTGTTGTGACAGGTGCAACTAGAGGTATAGGGAAAGGTATAGGCACATTGTTTGTTATATTGTAGATACTGCAATATGAGTCATCCACTACTGGGAAAGGTCTGTGTTGTGACAGGTGCAACTAGAGGTATAGGGAAAGGTATAGGCACATTGTTTGTTATATTGTAGATAGTGCAATATGAGTCAGCCACTACTTGGAAAGGTCTGTGTTGTGACAGGTGCAACTAGAGGTATAGGGAAAGGTATAGGCACATTGTATGTTATATTGTAGATACTGCAATATGAGTCAGCCACTACTGGGAAAGGTCTGTGTTGTGACAGGTGCAACTAGAGGTATAGGGAAAGGTATAGGCACATTGTATGTTATATTGTAGATACTGCAATATGAGTCAGCCACTACTGGGAAAGGTCTGTGTTGTGACAGGTGCAACTAGAGGTATAGGGAAAGGTATAGGCACATTGTATGTTATATTGTAGATACTGCAATATGAGTCAGCCACTACTTGGAAAGGTCTGTGTTGTGACAGGTGCAACTAGAGGTATAGGGAAAGGTATAGGCACATTGTATGTTATATTGTAGATACTGCAATATGAGTCAGCCACTACTGGGAAAGGTCTGTGTTGTGACAGGTGCAACTAGAGGTACAGGGAAAGGTATAGGCACATTGTATGTTATATTGTAGATACTGCAATATGAGTCAGCCACTACTTGGGAAGGTCTGTGTTGTGACAGGTGCAACTAGAGGTATAGGGAAAGGTATAGGCACATTGTTTGTTATATTGTAGATACTTCAATATGAGTCATCCACTACTGGGAAAGGTCTGTGTTGTGACAGGTGCAACTAGAGGTATAGGGAAAGGTATAGGCACATTGTTTGTTATATTGTAGATACTGCAGTATGAGTCAGCCACTACTGGGAAAGGTCTGTGTTGTGACAGGTGCAACTAGAGGTATAGGGAAAGGTATAGGCACATTGTTTGTTATATTGTAGATACTTCAATATGAGTCATCCACTACTGGGAAAGGTCTGTGTTGTGACAGGTGCAACTAGAGGTATAGGGAAAGGTATAGGCACATTGTTTGTTATATTGTAGATACTGCAATATGAGTCATCCACTACTGGGAAAGGTCTGTGTTGTGACAGGTGCAACTAGAGGTATAGGGAAAGGTATAGGCACATTGTTTGTTATATTGTAGATACTGCAATATGAGTCAGTCACTACTGGGAAAGGTCTGTGTTGTGACAGGTGCAACTAGAGGTATAGGGAAAGGTATAGGCACATTGTTTGTTATATTGTAGATAGTGCAATATGAGTCAGCCACTACTGGGAAAGGTCTGTGTTGTGACAGGTGCAACTAGAGGTATAGGGAAAGGTATAGGCACATTGTTTGTTATATTGTAGATAGTGCAATATGAGTCAGCCACTACTTGGAAAGGTCTGTGTTGTGACAGGTGCAACTAGAGGTATAGGGAAAGGTATAGGCACATTGTTTGTTATATTGTAGATACTGCAATATGAGTCATCCACTACTGGGAAAGGTCTGTGTTGTGACAGGTGCAACTAGAGGTATAGGGAAAGGTATAGGCACATTGTTTGTTATATTGTAGATAGTGCAATATGAGTCAGCCACTACTGGGAAAGGTCTGTGTTGTGACAGGTGCAACTAGAGGTATAGGGAAAGCTATAGGCACATTGTATGTTATATTGTAGATACTGCAATATGAGTCAGCCACTACTTGGGAAGGTCTGTGTTGTGACAGGTGCAACTAGAGGTATAGGGAAAGGTATCGCTTTACAGCTAGGGGAAGCAGGGGCTAAAGTATATATCACAGGTAATTGTTTTTTATTTGTATTGCCTTATGTACACTACTTAACTTAAATTGCAATTGCTCGCTGTGTCTCTGGAAACTACTGTACTCTCAGGGACAGTTACATGTATGAACTTTCGGTCAATCCTCTTTTTATAACCAATTGAATCGATTTATGTACACACAAATCATGTACACTTTTGATGCGCAATGAACAATCTTTAAATTGGGGCAGTTTAAAACAATGAAACATTAAGCGCTGCATTTTATTCCATAGCTAGAAAGAAATCCTGTTTGTCAAATGCTGCTTGTCTCAGACCATTGCAACACATTTAATTTTGTGCATTCAGTTTCCAAGTATATTTTTCAGGTAGAACATTGAAGCCTGTCAAAGATAATATTGGTGGCTCATTACAAGAAACAGCAGAGGAGGTATGTGCAGTAGACTATTTTGATTTGTATTCTGTCTTCATATGACCATTATGCCTGGGTCACATTTGCTCCGCCTGCACCCAGCCAATTGCAGTATTTTGTTCAAAACTGGTTTCAACTTGCCTCAAATTGACCAAACATTTTTTTAAATCATGTACAGGCTCTCAGGAGTTCACATTCGACCTCAAATTTGAGATTTGACCCTCAGTTTTGAACAAATTACTCAATGAAATGTTACAATGAATCAGTAGGCATTACTGTACCAATGAAAGAGCTTATTAGTTTATCTTCAATACACACACAAAAAGTAATAAATCCAACTGGAAGAAACCATCTAAGGGCACTTTGTTCATATTGGGGGCAAATCAATTTGCTCCCCATAATCAAGTCTGAAAATCTGGGCAAGTCCCACCACTAACGCACATGATAACCGCACCTCTTGTTTTCATATAGCTTTTTCTGTATAGAGTGGTATTTGAATAAGAAATTCTGATTAACTTAATGGTAACTTTTTCATTTTTATGATAGATCCGCAACAGAGGAGGTGTCTGTGTCCCAGTGCAATGCGACCACACCAAAGATGAGGAAATCAAGGCCTTGTTTGATAAAGTCCAGGATGAAAATGATGGCCAACTTGATATACTTGTAAATAATGCCTATAATGCAGTCAAGGTAGGATACCTATTACTGATATACTGTTAGACTTAATTATCCCAATGAACGAAGTTCGGTAGGGATATAGTGAAGCCCTCCGTCCGTCCGTCCGTCAGTCCGTCCGTCCATCCGTCCGTCCGTCTGTCCGTCCGGAAGATAACTCAAATACTAGTAGACGGATTTTCTTCATATTTAGTGGAAAGATGTATATTGGTGAATAGTTTTACGCAAAAAAAAAATTTTTCAAGATGGCCGCCGCTTTAAAAATGACGGGACTTTTTTGCAAAAATCATAAATTTTTCATTCTAAACCAAAGTAATTAATATTATTGTTTGAAATTTTGGTAGTATATTCACAACATTTATCTTTTTCACATATATTCCGTTTTTTTCATCCTGACCCCCAGGGGCCGTGTATGGGGGGTCAGGAAAACAGAAATTTTCGCTAATTTTTAGATCTTTCTGAAGTATAGCTTTATTATACTCAAATGAAAGGCAATTAGGAGTAGATTGCAAATATTGTATCTTTTTTCTGATTCGAGCCTCGTAAAATTCAAAATGGCCGTCTAATGTACGATTTCGCAATAATTTTTCGATCCCTTCAAAGTATGGCTATATTATACTCAAATTGAAGGATTTTTGGAGTAGATCACAATTATGGTATTATTTTTCAGATTTGTACCTCAGAAATTTCAAAATGGCTGCTTAGCAGGAATTCGCAATTCTAAAATCTAATTTTTTCAATTTTAACCAAAGTAATGAGTATAATTGATTGGAATTCGGTAATTGATATTTTGTTCGTTGGGATTTGCTACTCCGCGGAGTTGCCATTATCTAGTTCTAAATGGCCTCTGTAAATATATATAATTAGAGGTTATGTCACGATTACTTGAAATATTCCTTCGTTCTTACCCAAAATGTAGAACCTCCCAAGGTCGGCCTATATTAGGAGAGCACAGGCATATTTCACGTCAACTTCTCAGGCTATATTGATGACATACTTTAGGCATTTATTCACTTCAGTGATAGGGACATAATGGCTAAATATAGTCCGCTTGCTTTCCCTTTGACATCCATACAAATGCTTTAATACTTATGTGTAATACTCAGTGATATTGGTTGGCAAATTGGTTGTTATTGGTTGTGAATTTGATTCTGAGGTTGAGGCCTTATGGGCATTGTCAGAGTTGTTTTTTTTGTACAAAAACTGTTTTACATGTTTTGTACTGAAAACCATAATTTAGATCATAAATGTGAGATCATCATTGTTTATAATTATGCAAGTCCACAAATGTGGAATGTTGATTCCAAAGATAACATGTTCATCATTAATTTGCTTTGGTACAACTATTTCAAAGGTGCCTATGTATTTCTACGTATTTATAGGCAATTATGAGGAATTTAAAGGTGCCATTCTGGGAACAGCCTATGGACATGTGGGACACAGTCAACACTGTGGGACTCAGGTATGTCAACTATTGTAAATTGGCTTCATTTGGCACATTCTGTTATAATGTGGGACAAAGTCATTATAGTGGGACTCAGGTGTGTCAACTATTGTAAATTGGCTTCATTTGGCACATTCTTTTATAATGTGGGACACAGTCAACATAGTGGGACTCAGGTGTGTCAACTATTGTAAATTGGCTTCATTTGGCACATTCTTTTATAATGTGGGACACAGTCAACACAGTGGGACTCAGGTATGTCAACTATTGTAAATGGGCTTCATTTGGCACATTCTTTTATAATGTGGGACACAGTCAACACAGTGGGACTCAGGTATGTCAACTATTGTAAATTGGCTTCATTTGGCACATTCTGTTATAATGTGGGACAAAGTCATTATAGTGGGACTCAGGTGTGTCAGCTATTGTAAATTGGCTTCATTTGGCACATTCTTTTATAATGTGGGACACAGTCAACATAGTGGGACTCAGGTGTGTCAACTACTGTAAATTGGCTTCATTTGGCACATTCTTTCATAATGTGGGACACAGTCAACATAGTGGGACTCAGGTGTGTCAACTATTGTAAATTGGCTTCATTTGGCACATTCTTTTATAATGTGGGACACAGTCAACACAGTGGGACTCAGGTATGTCAACTATTGTAAATGGGCTTCATTTGGCACATTCTTTTATAATGTGGGACACAGTCAACACAGTGGGACTCAGGTATGTCAACTATTGTAAATTGGCTTCATTTGGCACATTCTGTTATAATGTGGGACAAAGTCATTATAGTGGGACTCAGGTGTGTCAGCTATTGTAAATTGGCTTCATTTGGCACATTCTTTTATAATGTGGGACACAGTCAACATAGTGGGACTCAGGTGTGTCAACTACTGTAAATTGGCTTCATTTGGCACATTCTTTCATAATGTGGGACACAGTCAACATAGTGGGACTCAGGTGTGTCAACTACTGTAAATTGGCTTCATTTGGCACATTCTTTTATAATGTGGGACACAGTCAACATAGTGGAACTCATGTGTGTCAACTACTGTAAATTGGCTTCATTTGGCACATTCTCTTATAAAGTGGGACACAGTCAACACAGTGGGACTCAGGTGTGTCAACTATTGTAAATTTGCTTCATTTGGCACATTCTTTTATAATGTGGGACACAGTCAACACAGTGGGGCTCAGGTATGTCAACTATTGTAAATTGGCTTCATTTGGCACATTCTGTTATTATGTGGGACAAAGTCAACATAGTGGGACTCAGGTGAGTCAAATAGTGTAAATTGGCTTCATTTGGCACATTCTTTTATAATGCGGGACACAGTCAACACAGTGGGACTCAGGTGTGTCAAATAGTGTAAATTGGCTTCATTTGGCACATTCTTTTATAATGTGGGACACAGTCAACATAGTGGGACTCAGGTATGTCAACTATTGTAAATTGGCTTCATTTGGCACATTCTTTTATAATGTGGGACACAGTCAACACAGTGGGACTCAGGTGTGTCAACTATTGTAAATTTGCTTCTTTGGCACATTCTTTTATAATGTGGGACACAGTCAACATAGTGGGACTCAGGTGTGTCAAATAGTGTAAATTGGCTTCATTTGGCACATTTTTTTATAATGTGGGACACAGTCAACACAGTGGGACTCAGGTATGTCAACTATTGTAAATTGGCTTCATTTGGCACATTCTTTTATAATGTGGGACACAGTCAACACAGTGGGACTCAGGTGTGTCAACTATTGTAAATTTGCTTCTTTGGCACATTCTTTTATAATGTGGGACACAGTCAACATAGTGGGACTCAGGTGTGTCAACTATTGTAAATTTGCTTCTTTGGCACATTCTTTTATAATGTGGGACACAGTCAACATAGTGGGACTCAGGTGTGTCAAATAGTGTAAATTGGCTTCATTTGGCACATTCTTTTATAATGTGGGACACAGTCAACACAGTGGGACTCATGTGTGTCAACTTCTGTAAATTGGCTTCATTTGGCACATTCTTTTATTTGGTAATTCCAAATGCAAGTTCAGGATGGTAGATTTAAATGCATGTTTCGTAAATTTTGTTTGTCCATTTTCAACTGGATATAACAAAATCCTTTTTGAACACCTACTGCAGAAGTTAACTACTGAACACAGGTCTGTCACAGAAATATGAACACCAACTACAGAAATATGAACACTAACTGTGGAAATGTGTGGATATCTACTATAGAAACATAAATACCTACTTCAGAAATGAAAATGTTGCAGGCTTCATTGTGCCTCTATTTTTCTCAAAATAAGAGACAAAAGATTTTGCAAATCTGTACATGTGGATGTTTCTTTCAGAAACCACTACATATGTTCCATTTATGCAGCTAGGATGATGGTACCACGTCGGCAGGGGTTGATTGTCAATGTTTCCTCAGCTGGCGGATTAAGATATCTTTTCAACATTCCATATGGGGTTGGAAAAGAAGCAGTGAGTATTACAGAACAGGATATTCATTTTTATTATATCATCGAAATGTTTCTCGCTTTCTCATTGGATAAAAACTGATCACATAATTAATAAAAAGATGATGGTGTGTTGCATTCCCCTGTCCTATGTCTCCAGCTGCACCCTCGTTTTCAACTGTATATACCAGGGAGTATACATCATGGTAGATATTACCGGGAGTATATTCTGCGACTATGTGTTTCATGCAGTGTACCAAAATAGCAAACGATAAGAAGATTTGTGAATGTAAATACTGATGAAAATACTTGTTTTTTGGGAAGTTTTCACTCACATAATATTATTCATGAAACAATGAACACTGTCAAGATTTTTGGATTGGTTATATACAATAAGTGAATCTTGAAATGACTTAGCCTTGCCCAAGTCGGTCTCTTTTACTTATCTTGATTTCTATTATGACCGCCTTGTACCAAAGAGAAAGCCACGTGCTTTACCGACAGTTTGTTGATGTCGGTAAAATTTGACCAATCAACGACGACCCTGAAGCGTTAGCTCATTATTATTCACGGTCAAAAACAAGTACACTTTTCACCGGGACTTTTCACGAACAAATCTTGCACGAATCTGAGCACGAACTCATTATGAAAATACAAATATTTTATCAGATAAATATCAATGAGAGTTTAGTGGATGCCGGGGCATCGATCGGATAACCAAAAGTGAGAAGATTTCAACAATAAACGTTGAAACGATCGCTGAACATGTAGGCTGAGATTCAATCACCAATCGACGACAACATGACCCGCTACATTGGACTAGGTCTTCGTGCATTTTCATCGCGAAATCAGTTTTAAATCAACATTGAATCGCATGATTTAATTTATATTAATGACTCTTACCTTCCAATGTACATTTAATTACATAATATATTGTAACTCTAACGAAACACTCGATCAGATCATTGAATTTCAAGTCGTAGATGGGAAGTTTGTTTTGTTTATGAAGCTCAACCTGATAACGTTTTGATTGGTCATTCAGCCTGAAGTCACACGTCGTGTCCACGCGATATCTGTCAATCAATAAGGTTTCGCGATACGCCTGATAGCGTAGGTATTATGGAAATCTTGAAACCGTTGAATATTTCAGCATAATAACAGCGGAGATGTATTGGATTGTACAAGGCGGTAATAATTCAAGATCAGATAAGTAAAAAAATACCGACTTGGGCAAGGCTAGAAACGACTGAGAAAGGTGTAAACCATGAAGACTTTTTCATATCAGATATTTATCAAAGTAAAAGTACACTGGTTGCAGGTAATATACTGAGGGAAAGATGAACATGTGTTCAATGATGGATACGTATCCCAAATATATCATATCCCAATACTGTGCTATGCATTAGCCAATATCCTGGGTACTTTGCATACTTTGCACTTTCCATATTCAGATTTTGAGATTATCCATTGATGAGCATCATACGTTTGGTGAAGCCTTTCTCGTACTCAATCTGAATAAGTGAAATTAATTTACATCATTTTATGCTTTCAAGTTATACTAATGTTTTTCAGTTGGATAGGATGGCAGTTGATGTCGCATTTGAGCTGCGTAAACACAATGTGGCTTGTGTTAGTCTGTGGCCAGGGGCAGTGCAAACAGAAACTATCATGTCAGAAGTGAAGTCTGGAACCTTTGATGGCAACGCTAGCAATGTTAAAACAAAACAGGTAATTAGATTCAAATGGGGTAGAGTGTCCTTTTGATGAATTGAAATTGTTCATGATCAAGTCATCCCTTGATTTGCATGGGTTTCTCAAAGTGTTAGTGTTAGTCGGATCCCTATTAGTCATTTTACTCAGTATAATATTTTCAAAGCAATAATCTGTGTGAGATGAAACGAACTAAACTACAGTTTTTAAGTTTGATATGTTGTGCAATATTTGATGAAGTTGTGTGAGAAATGTAAGATAGAAATTCATTCTCAGTTTGTTAACTACATGTACTTCAGTTTGAATCAGTTAAAAATACACATATAGGTCACTAACATTAGCCATTATATTGTAGGTTTTCATTGAAGGTGAATCAATTGAGTATGCTGGTAAAGCAATAGTCAATTTAGCTTCAGGTATGTTCCTTAATTGCCCCCTCCCACTTCTGTTGAATCAGTAGTCAATTTAGCTTCAGATATGTTCCTTAATTGCCCCCTCCCACTTCTGTTGAATCAGTAGTTAATTTAGCTTCAGATATGTTCCTTAATTGCCCCCTCCCACTTCTGGCGAATCAGTAGTCAATTTAGCTTCAGGTATGTTCCTTAATTGCCCCCTCCCACTTCTTGTGAATCAGTAGTCAATTTAGCTTCATGTATGTTCCTTAATTTCCCCCTCCTACTTCTGGGCTTTACAGTCTCTCCCAAGGATTTCATATTTCTTCATATCCACATATATCCCTTATAGAAGGCTGGTAGAAATATTTTTGATAACTGTAATTTGTCATTTTCTTAAGAGAAATCAGTATTTTAACTATACCATGCATGTCTCATACATGTATGATCATTTGTTATACTAAGAATATGTCTTTAATGATTTTTAGATCCAAAAGTAATGTCAAAAACTGGTAAAGTTCTGATTGGTTCTGACTTGGCGGATGAATACAACTACAGAGATATCGATGGTAAGACAGGGATTGATCATTGGTCTTATTGACACATACTTCTTAATATTGATACATTCCAAACATATTACATAACATATCTTTATGAAATAATGATGTTGCCCACAAAGGTAATAATTGAATATATGCAGCCTACAGCTATGGTTGGCAGATACATGTATATGCCATTTTGAGCATTTTTGAATGGGAAAAGACATGTACATTGTATTTAGAAACCCTTACAAAGAATGCCTAAATGGGTGTTTCAAAAAAGCATGGCATAGCAGCATTACCCATTATTACTTAAGTAGCACTTTCTGATAATTTCATGGATAATGAAAACTGACTTTAATACTTATTTGCTAATTTTGATTACAGGACTCATGATGACTTACCCTTTCCATTTATCCGACTTTGCTTCTTAAAAGAGAGCTTCATCTTTACTTTTAGCTTACCTCTGCTTTCAGGGTAATGATGACAATGTTATATCTTCTAGTGTCAATAAAATATTTAGAAAAACATTATTGATAAAATAGCACTGTCTTTTTATTCCAGGACGCAAACCAGGAAATTTCCGTCAAATCTCCTACTTACTACAATCCAGTGGCTGGAATACATTGTCCTCTTTTGTACCAGGATTTTTGACAATTCCAAAATGGCTTGTATCTTTTGCTGGGCATAAATTTTAAAAGTTTTATGTACCTCTACATCGACATGGAGTGACACAATGTTAGACATGTTAAACATTCAGGATTATTGGAAAGGGCACCCTGCCATTATAAAGTTTATATACATTGATTTTGAAGAAAAGTACAGGGTAATTAATTATAATGTGATTTTTCTATTGGAGAAGTGCCATCCAATCTTATTCAAGTATAGACATTAACATTGACATATATTAAGATTATACAATTGATTTATGAATTTTGAATTGAAAATTCAAGGGTAAAAAGATTCCAGAGCTTTTGCCCATTACTGTTTTAAGTAATGTTGTTGGAATTTTGTCATATGTCAAGATGAGGATCACCATGATCTGGTCTTGAATTATATTTTATAATTTTGCCATCTGTGCAAAGGATTAAAAGCACAACACTTAATTAATTTTAGCTCTATTAGTAAAACATTAGTTTCTCCTATTGCTAGTCAAGAACTTGGAGTCACCCTCATTTTTATGAGTTTTATACGAGAACACATGCATTACATAAACTGAGCCAAAATTCATAGTTCAGCTGTGCTTAAATCCTTAAAGATTTGTTTTCATATAATCTGAGATTAGCTTGCAGTAATTTTATAAAAGGGTAATTATATTGCTATTTTGATTATATTTTAAATACACAACTGTTCATCAGTTCCCCTTGAGCAATTCCAAATAATGTTTACAGTAATATACACCAATTTTAGAGTACAGTACCAAGAATCATGGTTGAATCCCATCCACAATTTGTTTGTGAAGTAAAGTATATAGTTTGCTCAATTGCATGGCACTTGTGTACTTCACAGAAATACTTCTGGCTGGGTGTACTTAAAAGTCCTGGTGTTCCTATAGTTACTTTGCTTCCCATTCCCCATTTGTTTAACATGGGATCTGCCATTTTTGTTAAATTTCATGAAATTCATCAATTTTGACATCAAATTTTGACCCAATGTAATGGAGATATAACATTGAAACGTTGCGGACTTTATAGTGAATAGAATCAAGATACAGATTTATTTTCTTTATTGGGATTTCTTTTGTTCCCCGCTTAGAAAACAGTCGTTAAACAAATATGGGGATTAACATGTAAACCTATGAGGTCCTAACTTTTTTTGAGGAGTATATATTAAAATTCAAAAGGGTAAGATATTGAGAGATTCCAATAAGCGCACATGTGTGCATTCATACTCATTTGAACTGTGCACTTATAAAAAAAGAATACGGTATCAAATGAATAGCACTATTTATATATTTTTTTTAAATTATTATCATTTTATAAACATGTTATTTCAACATGATCTCAGATTCTAGAAGTCAGTGGATTAATTGTTTGGAAAGTGCGATGAAGGGTAAAACATCGTGTAATAAAATAAAACTTTAAAACAATGACCTGGTGATAATTATATGTGTATGCCTACCTTAAAACCTATGTATGTGAACGCCTGAACAAGCATTGAAAATGAAACATCCAAGTATGATTGATGTAAGCACATGTCCACGTGACATATTTGGCTGGTCTTAGCTCAGCAGTGTTCATATAAGACAGGTTTTACTGTACAACTTATGCATACAGACTATTGATTTACACCAACTATTTTATACAATCAATGATTGATATATTCATAGCTATGCTTTTGTATTTAGGACGTTATGGATGATTTAAATTGGAAATTAACAATTTTACCAAAACCAGTCCAGCTTTTGTTCAAAACTACACCATTATCTCAAGCTGTGTATACAGGAATGACTTGGATTGTTTTGTAAAATTATGTTTACATACAAATGATAAAGTAATAAAGCATTAGCATGACCATCTTATATCTGTGTGTTTTCTCGCATTCTGTTCTTTAAATATTACCTATTAATAGTAGCACCCCGGAATAGCCTGACTACGGTAAAGTCAGATACCGTTGTCACAAATGGCGGACATAACCGTCGCTTCAATTAGATTTTCATGAATTGTATGTTTAATAGAGCACCTAGACTAAATTTCTTTAAGAACAACAATCAATCAAAGTGTCTTAATACTCATTGTACAGTTAATAATGTTCTACCATCGAAATAAAGTATTTAATTTAACCGATCAAAATGAAATACGGGACAACGGACACTGTAATTACCATATGCCGCTGTCTTTCTAAATTACTCAAATTCAGATTCCGTTGTCATTGACGATATCGAAGACGCTTTATTGTGGCGATTCACGACACAATTTGATCGAAAATGCGATTTCATATAATACATTATCACAAGAGCTTATAAGCATGCAAAGAATTAGCGACGATAAAATCCCATGAAATGAGGACCAAGTGATTAAACAGTTGAAGCGACGGCTATGTCCGCCATTTGTGACAACGGTATCTGACTTTACCGTAGTCAGGCTATTCCGGTGTGAGTAGGCTACTTGTCGTTTATTGCTTATTCTTTAAGCGATAGTTTTGGCTATTCGAATCACTCACCGTGAACCTAGATTAATGACCAATCTCATTTGAAATAGTTCCAGTGTTTATTTCAATGCCACATTTTTGGCTGAAGTGCCATAAATTTTATTCACTTTTGAGGCAGATATGAAATAATTTAATTAGCATTTTCTAAATACGCACCTCTTTATTATGTCGAAACTGTAGTCATGTATGTTATTTACAAATCCGAGACGTGGTATTTACACTCACCACTCGACCCTTTGCTTTTAAAAAATTACATACTATAGTTGCTCTATCAATTTGAAATCTGTGTGACTTGCTAGAATAACGTCAACTCTGTATGTCATTCCTAGTGAAATCTTTTAAAAATGCATGTAATTAATCCGAGCATTTCTTCAGTTTCCTTGTTTTATTTCTTTGAATTCAAAGAGGCATTCAGATTTACATTCATTGAAACCCGGCTATTTCGCCGTAACAACGACCCCCTTCTATCTCCAGAGGCTTGACTTAACGATGTCCGGCGTTCCCCGAGGGATGGCTTAATGGATGTGCGCCTTCCTTGTCTGAATGTTTTGCCATCGTCCGAATCATTTCCGGATTTTGTCCTTTTATGTTTCTGTTTTTGTGAACTTGTAGTTTTTGGATTCAGTTTCGCTGGAAATAAGAACATTCTGTCATCATGCATATACACATGGCAGTGACACTCAAAATAATTAGTCATTTTCGCCAGCCTTTTAGTTTTGCTAGTTGGATGAATTCCGGTTGAAATCATCAATGTTAATTCTTCTTCAATTCAGAATTCAAGATACTAGTATTGAAAATTGACATGATGGAGTGAGTATATGTTGTACAGAGCTTTACAGAACAATTTAAAGAACTGAATAAGTAATTAGATAGATATATCAAATCATTGCCTATCCTCCAAACGCTCTAGTAGCCCCTATTCACATTTTACTTATTTTGTGCTATGGAGTTGTCCGTTTGGAGAATGATTCTGTACCTAGGAAATCCTGGTCGGTTTGCAACTCTGTCAACATAGGAACATACGTCCAACTTTCACCTGTGGGAGATACTGAAGAAAACAAAACAGTAAATCCATAATGATGTTAAGCCCATGCCCCCCCCCCCCTAGTTAGGCAAACCATACTTTTAACTATGAAACATTCAGAATTCTAAAAAATGAGTTTCGCAGTATCAAATGCAAGTGTCTTGAATTATCAAAGATGGACCCATCTTCATGTAAAGCTGAACTTTGCATGTACCTTGGTTCATCTTTGAGTTCTGGGTAATTCTGGATCTGATCATCATGAGAAATCATGGCCTTCTATTAGCTCCACACTAGTATGGTTGAAGATAGAAAGATGTGATGAGTACGATCAGAATGGGTTCTGATAGACCAACAGGTAAATATGGTAACTATTGTGGATCCAGAGTCCCTACTATATTTTGGAATCACAAGCATAAGATAAACCCCGAGACCCTGAATCAATCAGAATGACGATAACAGGTACAACCCACCTTCTACTTTGATAAGAATCAGAGTTTCACGGTCAGCGAAGTATTCAGAACCGTAGTCGTTCAGGTTATTCCTCAAGTTCTTTATTGCACCAGCCTCATCAGACAAATCCATGTGCTGTGTATCTGCAAAAAAGTAAGATGGAAAACACTTGACTTGCATATTGTAGGGCTTTGAAGGCATGTAGAGGATCTTTGTTGTCCTGGTGCTTTGGAGGAAAATCATTTATTGATATGTGACTGGCGTGCTTGGTCGCATTAGTTTTTGATAATGTTTCCCGTTAATATGGATCTGACGTTGTTAATAGTAGATTGAACTATTTTAACCCATTTAGCCATTGTCCATTTTTTAAGTTAATTAAAATGGTAGTAATCTCTCCATATTAAAAAATGAATAAATCCTATCTATTTGAGATATATTCATTTCTAGTTGATAACAGTAACCTATTTTTACACTTTCAATGATAGGCTAGGGTCGATAGAAATAATTTTTAAATAAAGATGACCTAACATGGTAATCGATCTGTGTTTATTTATAGATGATACTGGATTCTGTTGGTGCTGCCATCTTTATATCGCCTAGAAACTATGCTACTATCAATCACTGTATTGACCTACACGTACCTAAGTTTGAACATTTACATTTCTTCCTGATTTACTTCCTGCGAAAGCTATTTGGATTTTGATATAATAGCTTTCCCACGGAGCATTTGGACAGCTCAGTGATCGTGACCTTTGAAATCGAATTAAGTAGATCCGCGGCTTACTTTTGGTCTCTAACTGTGTCTTACATCAGTATCATCAATCCGTGTAAGTATTGGACCGCTGGAGTACTTCTTTTTCGATCAAGACTTGTAATTGTTAGGTCGAGTGAATCGTTTTACTGCCAAATTCCAATATGGCGGTTTCTGCTCGGACATTTTCGTAAATCTCCGGAGGTTGTCCGAACCTAACTAATTCTCAAAATTCATTTCGTTCGTTGCGTATCTCGCACCTAGCAGTCCGCCATATTGGAAATAGGTCTGTAAAACTTTAACTCGATGAACAATTTACAAGTCTTGATCGAAAAAGAAGTACTCCAGCGCTCCAATACTTACACGGATTGATGATACTGATGTAAGACACAGTTAGAGACCAAAAGTAAGCCGCGGATCGACTTAATTCAGTTTCAAAGGTCACTATTGATCAGCTGTTCACTTCTCCGTTTGAGAGCCATAAGTTTCAAAATCTAACATGGCTCTCGAAGTGAGTAATTCCTGATATGATGGAGAAGCAGCTCATTGCGGCAGTTTGGGTTAAATAAATGCTTAAGCCCATCTGAAATAACACATTCAACTATTACAGATAACAATGAGGAAACGACAGGTTGCACTTACAAGAATTATATATTTTACCCGATTGATGAATTTGATTCAAGATTAAAAATGTAAATCCCTGGCGAGTCTGCTGGAATAGCAACATTTGTGCATGATACGATCCACATCTATAAAAATGACATCTTCGACCAAAACATTTACTTCTGGACATCTGGACATACGAGACAACGATCTGCAAGCAAAAATGCCATGCATTCTGTAAGCAATTAAACTGTGACATCTTTGATTCTGCCTTCAACACCAATTCGAATAACCTTTATCGTATCGTACCAACTTTATTATGAATTGTATTTTATTCTGATAACAAATTTCCCTATATAGGTATGGTATTGTTGACTCAATCATTCATAACTTTATATATTGAATAGCCTGACATATCGAATGGATCGGATTTCAATCTCACGGTGGAGAAAGGTGTATTGAACATAACATGTTTTTACAACCACTTGGACGCTGAATTCAATATAAAATGATGATTAGGTAATACACGCCACCTCTTACAACTAAAGAACGTATGCGTCAATGGGAGAAGTGGTATTAATTACACGTAATGGTGTTCCGCTATGAATATTGCTTCTGTTGACTACCATTATTACATCATTAATCAATGACTGCATGATGAAAAATAAAACATTGCATAGGCTAATTGCAAAAATGGGTATCTTGGTTTCAATTCATCCAAATTTGTTAAAAAAACCTTTGGAAGTCGAGGATAAAAATGGGTCCAATTACAAAACTGTAACCATTTGTTACAGACGCCGACTCATGTTATTCTTTGTCACACATCTATTAAATTTCACAAATAGTGTAAGATGAACTCCCCTATCAAGGAGCCGATAAGGGTACACTTACACTAATATGTGTTGGATATACACGCAATGTCAATGCCCAAATCAACATGGAATCGATCTCTTGGTTATATACTTTCCCTGTCACCTCGAAATATGTCAATATTTAAACGGAATCGATCATAAATACAATAAATACTATGCAACATATTTTCTGTTGGTATTCTCCATAAAATAATTTATATATGAGATGTACTGTACAAGATAATTGAATTTGATAAGGTCAATGTCACAACGAAACCATCTTTGGTTTTACTTTTGCTTCATGTTTCCGAAAAATCAAGCGTTCGGTCATTATTGTCTGAAACTTATTCAAAATCGAAGTGAGTCACGGTGATTTATGATATCGAAGCTACGCAACGGACTGCGACTCGTCCGGCGCCAAAATGGAGGAACAGTTTGTCGTGCATGCTCTCCACGTACGTCCAGTAAATTGAAAAATTCCAGACATTTTATATGTTAAATATTTTAGACATGTTTATATAATTTATTATTTTATCTAGGTAATATATTTTATATGTTATATGTCACCAGTCGGTGAGATATCCATACGTCATGTATTGAATGGAGATTGACCAGTTGTCTAGGTTAAGTTGAAATAGTAGCAGAATTTTGATTTTCACTTTTAAAAGCTGTTCATATAATTTAATTTTGTATACACTTGAATATGGATACAGAGTTATCTCTCCCTCCGAAAGGACACTATTAGTAACATGTACAGTATCTAGATTTGTCAGTTTTCTTTATAGACGAGTTGAGTCGCATTCCAGTGGCCGCGACTTCGATATCATAAATCACCGTGTGATTGGGAATTCCATTTTTATTATTTCAATTGCTCCAACTTCACTTGTATTATAACCACCGTGAATTCAAAAGATCTATTTAAGCCATCAATTTTTCTAAACAAATAATAAGTAGAATCATCCAGAAGAAATGTTGAAACTTACCTCCATATTTGACAGTGATAAACATATTTGAGGCCCCTCGTTATCAACGGGGACTTTTAATTGTTATGGTGTTTCCAGGACATCACAGGAACACTCCATATGCTATCCAGTAATGTAGCTGAAAGACAAGAGTCATCAATCACACAAAGCTTTTCATTAATATATTTGCCAGCAGGTGACAACATTCCTTCGATGTAGATAAATGTATCAATTCTCTTGACCTGGACGCCATGTTTTTTTGCCTCTGGTTTGTCAACTGTGATATCAGAGTTTGCGACACTGACCTATTCTGCAAGCAAGAAAACTATGACACATTCTACAAGCAATAAGCCAATGACAAATGACATATTCTTCAAGCTATTTGACTAATCTGCGAGCAATGAGCATTTGACATATTCTTCAAGAAGTGAGTCTATGCGACCCATTCTACAAGAAATTAGAAGCTACAGCTTATGACATATTCTTCAAGAAGTGAGTCTATGCGACCCATTCTACAAGAAATTACAAGCTACAGCTTATGACATATTCTTCAAGAAGTGAGTCTGTGCGACCACCCATTCTACAAGAAATTACAGGCTACAGATTATGACATATTCTTCAAGAAGTGAGTCTATGCGACCCATTCTACAAGAAATTACAAGCTACAGCTTATTACATATTCTTCAAGAAGTGAGTCTATGCGACCCATTCTACAAGAAATTACAAGCTACAGCTTATTACATATTCTTCAAGAAGTGAGTCTATGCGACCCATTCTACAAGCAATTACAAGCTACAGCTTATGACATATTCTTCAAGAAGTGAGTCTATGCGACCCATTCTACAAGAAATTACAAGCTACAGCTTATGACATATTCTTCAAGAAGTGAGTCTATGCGACCCATTCTACAAGAAATTACAAGCTACAGCTTATGACATATTCTTTAAGAAGTGAGTCTGTGCGACCCATTCTACAAGAAATTACAAGCTACAGCTTATGACATATTCTTCAAGAAGTGAGTCTATGCGACCCATTCTACAAGAAATTACAAGCTACAGCTTATGACATATTCTTCAAGAAGTGAGTCTATGCGACCCATTCTACAAGAAATTACAAGCTACAGCTTATGACATATTCTTCAAGAAGTGAGTCTATGCGACCCATTCTACAAGAAATTACAGGCTACAGATTATGACATATTCTTCAAGAAGTGAGTCTATGCGACCCATTCTACAAGAAATTACAAGCTACAGCTTATGACATATTCTTCAAAAAGTGAGTCTATGCGACCCATTCTACAAGAAATTACAAGCTACAGCTATGACATATTCTTCAAGCAATGATACCGCCACGGTCACCATGATATATTCTGCAATCATTTCAGCCATTGTTGTCCACGTTAACGCATTGAGAGAACCGCAAACAGACAGAGCCTTCATCTACCGATCGATTGTAAACTGATATGTTTAATCCAGTAGGATGTTATGCTTAATCTATAGAATTTCAATCTTCCAGTGTGAGATGTTAAATATGAATCACAAATGAAAGTGGGGAATTACAAATGAATTTAACATCACAAAGTAAATCAATGATAGTGTACCAATGTTGATAGAAGTTTAAACATTTTCGGAAAAAAATCAATTACAAGAATACGTTTTTATTTACGAATGTCAATAACACCAGCTTAATCCTCCAACTCAATTAAAAAGCATACATACATTTTAGGATCCACTTGTTTGCAGTCAAATCCTATAAATTAATAAATTGACCAGTTGACCCGTTCAATTGTTTTCTTATCTTAATTTCAATAAATCAAATTGTTTATATCTAGTATATATTAATTCAAATATATTTCTGTACTTATCAACAGAATTCCGATATAAGTTGAAACACTGTTTATAATACAAGGCATTCTATTTGTATTTCGTGTAAAACACATAAAACGTAGATATAGAATTTTTAGGTATTTATATTTGAATTGTTTTGGCAACGGATCGTTTTACGACCTTAATTTTGTTTCAGATGAAAAGGATCACTACTTTGAGGTCGTTTTTTATCGACTGTCAACATTTCTATGAATGTAAACAAAGATTATTTCAATATTCAGAACGGTTGTTAGAATGTTTGTGTAAAAATGTATTCTCAGGTTTTACGAATAAACAACTATTATAGACAGAGTTGTAGCAATTCAAAAATCAAATAGGCGAGGCCAAAGAACATTTTACACGTTACTACTCAGGTACATAAAGTTCATCACTTCCATCCTCATAGCCCATGATAGTTGTAATTTTGAACCTTTACCCGTTTCATGCTGTATCTAGGATATCAATTTTATGAGTGTGTTCGTGTGCTCGTTTATGTTATTTTATTTGTGTAAGTCGGTTGAACATGAAAATAAATTGTTAACATGTACAATTTTGTACTACGTCATCTTTATACACTAGATACAACTCTATTATGGATTTCGCACATACTGTATATTTCGAAATAGAAGTAAACATTTAA